TTTTTTTCCCCCCCCCCCCCCGGCTTGTGATTAATTTGTAGAGCGTGAGAATTAAATTACTATCATTGTCCTCAAAATATAAACACACACGAGGTTATTGCATTGTCTTTGCATATACGTACGGGACATAGAGATACAAATTATTTTTGTACAAGCATACAATTGTTTTTATTATTCATAAGCTTCTTTTTGATTATTCAGCAATTTATTGAGTAAATCAAAATTTATAAATTAAATTCTTTATAATGAACAACATATACCAGTTGAAACCACAAATTTTCATAATGAATCATTTCATCATGAAATACAAGCTTTATTTCGAGGATCCAGCTGTGATGAAACCGCGCAAAAAAAAGGCCTGTACGAGAGAAGCCCCCAAAACTTGTCTCACCAGTTAAAACCTCCGAATCGATGCATCAAACTGGTCACCCGGCGTCCCGAGCCGTCAATCAGGAGGAATCCGACGTTCTGCCGGTTCTCCGCATCACCTCCCGGGAAGTACGGCCGCGTGTCCCCGCGCTCCCTCGCGCTGGCCACCACTCGCACGACCGTCGTACATATTGACAAATCGCGGTCCTCCTTTTTCTCCACCCTGTGAATCACACGCGTTTATGCCACTGGAACTGAAAAGTTTCCCCCTCCCTGTACCCCGCGATGCTAATAAATCAGAGCCCTAATGGGACGCGGCGAGTTTCTTCTTTTTTTTTTTTTTTCCCTCCCTGCTTCAACCTAGTTAACCGGTCGTAAAGTATACCTCTTGCGGCCTTCCTGCTTTGAAAACAAGCGTGTTTGTCGAGTTTGCTTGTTTTCGTAGCTAAAGACCATTACCGGCTCTCTCTATTTCTGTTCTACCGTATCACATGGACGGAGACAGATGGATGTATAGGGGAGCGATTAAAAAACTTTCGGTGCTGCACGGGCGAGTGTGTACATTACATGCGAAGAATAGGGTTCGTAAAGTCATTCGGTTGGCTCACCTGACGAGGTCCTTGTAAATTTTTCTCGTGACGTCGAGATAGGGCTGCAGCTCGTCCTCGTACTGGCACAGGCTTCCCCCGAGGACGAGCATCTCGAACAGCCGGAAGATAAACTCGTCCCTCTCCTCTGGCCCGTACAGGCTGTAACGCTCGTTATCCTCGTCGAGGATCATCTGAGGAATTTTTTTTTTTTTTCTGCATTTCTCGATAAATTGAGTTCTCGGAGGGGAAAAAAAGGTGTACCCACGGCTCTGAGTTTGTCGGAGACGATGAATCCTTCGATTTCCACGTCGCACTGTTTGCAAATGGCTCCCGAGAGGGAGACGATTTTGTTCTCGGGGTTTTTTAATTTGTCGAAAAAGGACATGTTCAGCGCGGTACACTGCACTGGAGTGACGTCGACTGATGTTGCTTTTATGCCTGTGGATTCAAAAAAAGCCTCATCCAAATGAACATCCACTTACCAGTAAAATAGACCATTTATACCTTGGACCATCCAAGCATCGCCGACTTTAAGTTTCAGCGAATTGGCAACCACGGGGCTCTTGAAAAATTGCTGAAACGTACAAAATCGAAGCATGAAGAGAGAGAAAGAGAGAGTATACACTCGATTATGCGGGTACGCATTTAATACCTATGAAATCCGGGGCTACAGAGAGACGGACAGATATCGAGGGGAAATTGAAAAACATAGTGATAGATGCAGAGCAATAAATCTAGCTGGAATTTATACACAAGCAGCAGCAGCAGCAGTGCCGTTTCGAGCGATTGGGTTAAGCGAAATTGAATTACCTCGGCTATATGATATTTGTTGTACGGCTGAAACGGCTCGTTAAAGCAGAAATCTTGTATGCCTATGTTCCCGAGTAATCCCCTGAAATTGAAAAGCAATCAGCTTCGCGCGCAGCTTACGCTTGTTCGAAGACTTTTCGATTCAAGATAATAAATACTCCTTCTTTTTTTTCTTTGTTTCATCAATTATCATACATGAGTATCGGTATATTGTTCAAAAAGGTAAGACAAGGCAATTTTATTACCACAGTCAATAACCCCCAAATCTCGCACCCATACCCTCACCGAAACAGCAAAAAAGATGGAGTATGACGTAAAAGTGGAAAAAGAAAAAAAAATCACTAGGTAGAGAAAGAGTATTTTACCATTTTTTCAAGTAGTGCTGGGTATCTTTGTTTTGTATGCCCATGTAGTGGCGCTCGGCGAGCGGGACGAACGTGTAGTCCGGATCGAGCTCCATTTTCAAACAAACTATCTTTCTCTCTCTCTTTGCACTCCTCCTGCTGTTATATACCGTTGGTCGTTACCGAGGTAACCGGGTGCTCCAACAAAGATCACGCATATGCTCCGTGAGAGAGTGACTACACCGCTGGACACGACCCTTTGCCTCCACACCCCGCCACGGTGTACAACATGCTATGTACCTATAGGGTGTATAGGGTGTGTAAACCTCCACTCGCTCCGCTGCCCCCCTTCTTTTCGGGAAACTCGAGAATACATCCGCGTATATTTGATTTGAGGAAAGAGGGCGAGGCGAAAACGCTCGTGTGGACACTGTATCGTCCAAATCGATGTTTGACTGTGTTAAACTATAGACTCGATTTCTCTCTTTCTCGTCTCGACTACACCGAGATGAGCTGTAGTATACCTATACGGTTGTTTGTCTTGAAATTAGCACCGACTCTCCTAGCTCGCTTGATTCTTTTTTTTTTTTTTTTTTTTTTTTTGTGGTACAATTTGCTCCGCGTATAGAGAGTTGGTTTATACTAATGTACACCGTGGCGTCCTCTGTGCATCACGAATATTCAACTTTCCGATCTAATCGAGATGAAATAGGCAGGAAAGTAGTTGTGTACCAAACTGCGACGATATCATCTTCCACGCGCACCCCACACAACATCTCTCCTGCTTGCCGGAGACGCGCCTAGTTTTCGATGAGACACGCTGATGCTCGCAAACAAGCGCGAACTGCACTTATACGTGCCGGTATGTACCGGGCTGTGCCGCACTTATTCGCCGAGATTTATAGCCACCCGGCAGTTTTGTAACTCAGAAACAATTTGCATCGTAAATTCAAATGCGAGCTAAGGAGAGAAGGGGTCGGCGCCACGGGGAGGCAAGGGGGAAGACAAATATTGCGCCGGGCTGAAAATTAGAAACTACTCGCTTCGGGAAAGAGAAGCCGAGCCGGAGATAAACTTTTGCCCGCGGAATTGCACTTTGGGATACAAAGGTGTGTATGGGTGATTGATGAGGCGCTTATGCATTTCGAGGTTTTTCCGCGAAGAAAGACTGGAGGTGTGGAGCTTGTATCCACGCGTGGTGTCATTGATTTTTACTTTTGCGCGGTTTCATCATTCATTGGCCACGCAAGGCCATGTCGAATAAGTGTGCTTTCGATAACTGTATTTTTTCTCTGGTCGTTTGTTACTCAACGTAAAACCTTTTTTTCCTTCAACTTCTGATTCGACAAAAAAAAAAAAAAAACAAGTAAAACTTGAAAAAATTTTTTAAATACATTGCTGCCACAACAGTCAGTGTGTGGACCTCATTGTGGTGTCAAATCATTAATTTCACGTGTATTTATTTATATCTTGGTACATTAGGCTTCCTAACGATTAAACTTTTACGTTACTCAAGATTACTGCTTACACTTGTGTCGTAAACTTTGAGGCCCGAAATGTAATTGGCCGATACATTTTTACAGTTTTTAGATAAGATATAGTGCTTGTCTGTTTTTAACTATATTCTTGTTATATTATCAACGAGGAATATCTTATCCTAAAGCCATCCGGCTATTATTTTACGTACTACGTTTCAATATTCCTGAAGAAGTAGGGAAGTCCACCACGTCTTGCAAACCATGGGATTAAACTCTTGGGTCCAACTATAGGTTAGTGCGTGTATATCGATGTACGAGGCCAACATAAAAACCAATAGCGTGTAGTGGTCTGCCGAGAAATTGAATCTTTATTTTTCAAGATGAACCAGCCGTCGAATTCGGTAAGTGATTGTATTTAATATTGATCTGTTTGTAACGAATTAATTTTTTTTTTTTTACTAGATATCGTAATATTTTGCTACTCACTTTTCGATGACGATCAATGACCGATTGATTGTTTTTAAATAATCACCATTGTTAGCTTAACCGGTTGTACTTATTTATCTATCGACTGGGTGTATATAATTTCAGTTTGCCGCTGAATTTGTCCGTGAATCATCTTCATTCAATAACAATTGCATCGATTTTCATTCTAATGCCGCAGAAATGACTGTCCTAGAATGTCGATATGCCTATATTCCAACAAAAGAGTATCCTTCTACAGGTATATATGTATAACAAAAGTACATTCTTCACAGCACGTTGAAAAACATTTTTAATTTTATCTTTCTTTTGTAGTGATTGTTACGGAAAATGGGGAGATAAAAGGAAAAAGAGGACAAAAAAGAAAAATTGAAGAAGTAACAGATTAATAGATAAGTTAAATGTTTATACTATTAAAAGTTACATACCTCCCTGTTTTCTGAAGCTCTGCGATGAAGGTATAATAAATTATGTAAGAAGAATTAAATGGTATTTTTGTTGTAACGTTGATCCTCCCTTTGTGAAAATCAACAAATAATAAACAACTTTATATATTTTGCTAGCTTTGAAATGAAACCAAAAACCAATAATATTAGTCAAAGTGATAATTTTGTCCCTGTAATCTTTTAGCGGATAAATAATCGTTACATGATTGTACTTTTAAAATTTTAAACAATTACCCTTCAAAGCTTCCAATAACCCTCTGATCATGATCTCTTGTCAAATAATTTATACTCTCAAGGAAACAAGCCAAAACTTTGTTCTCCAAATATCTCCAGATTCCACATTTTTGTTTTTCGAAAATAAAAAATACTCAAAGATTTTAAAGGCACTAAAAATATCAAGCACCATAAGTTAGAAATTTTATTATACAAGAAAAATAAAAATAATTCAGCAATCACCATATAGAGAAATACTATTGATTGATCTTGTTAAGTAGAATTTTCATTGCAGCAATTAAAACGTAATTTGGTGACGGAAAATTAATAATCAAGATTAGGACCTAAAAATTGTGTGCATCCACGCCCCCGTGCGATATATCCTTTTCGTGGAAATTCACGAACCATTAAATATAATCAAAATAAATTTTATACAAAAGACATCCATGCATACGTATATATATTCAACGACAAAAGTGTGCCAAATAAATTAAGAGTAGAGTCGAGGCGTCATCGCGCGATACACGCGCCGGCCATAATTCGCGCGCGAATTTCCTTTCAGCTCCTTTCCACGCACATAAATCAAGCGCCCTTCCCTTCCCAACCTTCCCTAGTCCCGTATATAAATTAATACCCGAATCTAGCTCTGTTACACGCACACACACGCCTACGCCGTACATTCGTTTGTTCCGCAAAAACTGCACAGCTTGTCATCGCACGCGTACGCGTCTGTAGGTATATCATTTTTTTCCATTTTTTTGGACACATCCAATAGAAATTTTTTTCTGGGTTCCCGTAAATAACGTACAGAGGCATTTATAAATATCTCCCGCGGTCATCATATATGCACGCAATAACAACACTTGGGGCTACAAAAACACTCACGGAGACGCTCCTCACGCGCATTCCAATCTTGCATCTGAAACCACCGGCATTACAGACAGAAAGCTCCTGCTCAACCATCTTTTGCAAATCACTCCTTCCTCCCCAAATTGCGTACACCCTTGACGAGCTATTCGTCGTCGAGGCCGTTTCAATCCGAACTCCCTTCCCGTAAACAGATGCAAAGACAGAATGAAAAAAAGAGAGACCGAGCAGAGTACGGTGACTCGAGAGAAAAGCTCGAGACGCAATCGATGGGGAAACGTAAAATTAATCCGCGGCGAAGAGAGAGAGAGAGAGAGTCGGGCGCAGCCGGGTGCGGCTAATCGGAGGCTGTTAGCGAGAACACCGGCTTCGCGCGCGCGTGAGCAGAGAGAGTGGAAGGATGATCCCGTCCCGTTGGAATTATCTTTGCCAGCGACGTCAGGTGCGCGTAATCGCGCCAACTATTAAGGAACCTCTTTTACGGTTACAGATCCTTTCTCGATTTCCCGTTCGGGGAGAGGATACTATACACCGGGAGCCGAGGTTCGTATAGGCTGGAATGGAATGGCTCTCGAGTTTTTTTTTTTTTTTTTTTTTTCCCGAGAGATCTGAAGATGATGGTGATCGCGATGACGAGAGGAAGTGAACGAGACTTGCCGAGCAACGAAGGGGCCACGGATGATATTTCGCACGCGCCAGTCGGATGAGATCTATTGAAATCGCGTCTTTTGCGCAACTTTGCACATCAAACACCGCAGTGGGTCAAAGTATCCCCCTCCCAGTGGCTGAGAAGGGTAGGAGGGTTCAATCTGGCCTGTTCAATCCTTTGCTTTGGAGAGAGGATCCGTTCGAGGGGAAAATGAAGCGAGTTCCTTATCCGTGCTGCTCTTTGCTGCACTGCACACCTCATCTCGTGCTAACTGCTAGGAGAGACGAGAGGTGGGATTTGAGCCAGGATTATTGTAGGGCCTCTACGTTGAATGAAGAGCGGGTGGAAATAAAAAGGAATTTTGCTACTTTTTGATGCGGAAGAGCTGAGCTTTCGTGCGAGTATGATATGATTGTTTTGCGGCGAGAAAGAGAACTTCCGTAAAGTCGACTTTGTTTCCTGAAAATAAATGTGATTCCGCTTGTCACCTTAAATTTTAAGGATATTACGTACGCTTGGATGCTGCACAACAATAAAAATTAAAAGAGAGCGACGACTAGGTTGCGTCTGACCAAATACTGACTTATACTACTTGACTTTCAATTTTCGCGCGTTTCTATGTTGTAGGAGTATCTCGTACACACAAAATAGTTATTTTTATAATTGTAATCGATAGTAAAATTCTGTACAGATCGTTGGATTCAAGAATAAACAAATTCCGACGAAATAAGAGGACACGCGCAATTCCTCGATATCACAACAATGGTACGTCCCAATCAGCTTTAAAACTTTGCCCTCCTGCGCAAAAAGCACAGTGTACATTCACCTAAATCTCGTCATTGTCTTTCTACTTGGGCCAAAGTTGAGTCACTTTTGACTCGAGACGAGACAGAAGACGTACCCGAAACAAAAGAAGAAGAAGAAGAAGAAGCAAGACCGCCTGCAGGAGCAACGCTGCACAAGGGCGGATTCGCGTGGCA